AAAAAAAAAAAAAATAAGAAGAAGAAAGTTAAAAAAATAAAGTTATGAAGTAACACAGAAGTATAATGGACTGTGAGATTACTCTGAGGAAGTAAGAGAAGTATAGTTAATACAAAACAGTGGTCCACTCAGAATCACGTAGACTTGACTCTAAAATGCACATGCAGCCAGGTTCTTAAGCAGGAGTGTCCACCCCAACACCCCTAGGAGATTTTATCAAGCTGTGTCTGTAGCCAGCTCAGCCCCATAGCTCCTGTCCAGCCTCTCCACCCTTCTCCGAGGGTTCCTCTGCCAGTGTCTAGTCTTAAATCAGCCAGCATTCATAAATAAAGAAACAGAAGTTAAGCAGGTTTGACTAGTGAACTGGGAAAGACCAATAGGTTCTAAGTTCACCTTACGGTCTCCAGTTAGGAATGGGTTTTCCTGTCTGCTGATGGGTAACAGGAAAAAAAACCTCTGTCTGTTGCCCTCTGCCTGTTGCCCCCTGCCTGTTCTCTTGCTGTAAGGCCTCAGTATAAAGGTTTGGTAGGACAATAATGTCTGCTGAAAGCAATGAAGTGCCATGGAATGGTATTGCCAGCCTGCTGGGGCTGGAGGGCCATATCACTGTCCTGCCGCACTTGGTCGAGGACAGCTTTGTGGGGAGACTCAGTGTGGGCATCCTAGGGGAACAGAAAGAGCTGTCGCCAGATGACACACCCTAAATGCCAGGGGGATCTTTTGGAAAATTGTGTATATACAAATAAGGGGGAGAAATGTCAAGGATTTGTTCATTTTTACAAGTCTGTTTTGTGGGGGAGGGAGGCATTATTTTCTTTTTTTAAACCAGGTTAACTTGATTTAACTCACTCTGACAAGAGATGCATGTGGAAATAGTTCAAAATTTTAAACGAATTTATAATTACAAAGCAGATGATAAAAAATACACATAGCATTTGTAGTGGAAAAAATGGAAATCTTGCAAGAATAGAGAACAAACAGTATTATCTATTCTCATTTAGTAACAGCACATCTTAAAATTATTCCTTTGATACATTTTTAATTGAGAAAAAAAATTCTTCCTACTACAGAGAAGTACATGTCCATCTTAGATTAGGAAATATAGGTAAGCAAAGAACAAAGGAGCTGGTGCTGTCCTGCCATCCAGAGTTACCTCATAGTTAGAGCTTCCTGCTCATCCCTCTCCTTTTTCTGTCCATACATACTGTTTTTCTTTTTTTTTTTTGAGACGGAGTTTCGCTCTTGTTACCCAGGCTGGAGTGCAATGGCGTGATCTCGGCTCACCGCAACCTCTGCCTCCTGGGTTCAAGCAATTCTCCTGCCTCAGCCTCCCGAGTAGCTGGGACTACAGGCGTGCACCACCATGCCCAGCTAATTTTTGTATTTTTAGCAGAGACCGGGTTTCACCATGTTGGATGGTCTCGATCTCTTGACCTCGTGATCCACCCACTTCAACCTCCCAAAGTGCTGGGATTATAGGCGTGAGCCACCGTGCCCGCCCCATACATACTTTTTTTAAGCAAAAGTTAGGATCATTTTGTCATCTGCTTTTTTTCATTTAATATCAGAAACTCTTTGTTATGTCAAAAATAATATTCTTTGAGTAATTTTTAAATGATTCATACTATTTCATTGTATAGCCATATTCCCAGAGGAATTTAAAAGGCAGTCCAAAAATTAATTTATTGATTAAAAAAACAAAAGCTAGCAAAAATAAAATTAGTCATAGATATTTTTTAAATTTTAATTTGTTTTGGCCGGGCGTGTTGGCTCACACCTATAATCCCAGCACTTTGGGAGGCCGAGACGGGAGGATCCCTTGAGCCCAGGAGTTCAAGACCAGCCTGGGCAACATAGTGAGAAAGCCAGACATGGTAGCATGTGCCTGTAGTCCCAGCTACTCAGGAGGCGGAGGTGGGAGGATAGCTTGTGCCCAGGAGGTCGAGGCTTCAGTTGAGCTGTGTTCGCACCACTGTACTCCATCCCGGGCGACAGAGCAAGACCCTGTCTCAGAAAAAAAAGAAAATCAGTTTGTTTCTAGTTTTATAATTTGAAAGATAATAAAAGAAGAAAATTTAGGTTTCTTATTCTGTCATTTAAAGATGTCATTGTTTTTGTTTTCCTTTCAGTTCTTTCCCCCTTGTGTGTATATGTGTATGTGTGTGTATGTTAAAAGCAAAACTGCTCATTAATTTAAAAAAAAATATTTAAAAGCCTTTTGTGCCATACATTTGAAAATTGGGGAGGAGGTCTTGTCTTATATTGGGGTTTGCTGAGATTCTCTGAGTCTGATCCCAGAGACAGCAGAGAGGGAAATAAAGGACTGTGGGCCTTGGCCTCTGTGCCGCCGCCCTTCCCTGGAGCAGGGAGAAGGAAGGGCTGCTAATAGCCCTGAGTCTACTGCAAAGGCAGGCCAAAGGGAGGGGAAGTCCGTGGCAGTGGGAGATGGAATTGTACCCAACTAGGATTATGTCGAGAGCAGAGGAAGTCATTTACACTCTCTAGGGAGGAGCTGGACCTGAGGCAATTAGAATTTTTCCACCTCTAACTTTAGTGATTCTTTTTTTTTTTTGAGACAGGAGTTTCGCTCTTGTTGCCCAGGCTGGAGTGCAATGGTGCGATCTCAGCTCACCGCAACCTCCGCCTCCCCGGTTCAAGCAGTTCTCCTGCCTCAGCCTCCTGAGTAGCTGGGATTACAGGCATGTGCCACCATGCCCGGCTAATTTTGTATATTTAGTAGAGATGGGGTTTCTCCATGTTGGTCAGGTTGGTCTCGAACTCCTGACCTCAGGTGATCTGCCCACCTCAGCCTCCCAAAGTGCTGAGATTACAGGCGTGAGCCACTGCGCACAGCCATTCTTTTTTTTTTTTTTTTTTTTTTTCAAGCCAGTCTTGCTCTGTTTCCCAGGCTGGAGTGCAGTGGCACAATCTTGGCTCACTGCAAACTCCCTCTCCCAGATTCAAGTGATTGTCGTGTCTCAGCTTCCTGAGTAGCTGGGATTACAGGTGTCTGCCACCACACCTGGCTGGTTTTTGTGTTTTTAGTAGACAGGGTTTCACCATATTGGCCAAGCTGGTCGTGAACTCCTGAGCTCAGGTGATCCACCCATCTCAGCCTCCCAAGGTGCTGGGATTACAGGCACCTGCCACCACACCTGGCTGATTTTTGTATTTTTACTAGAGATAGGATTTCACTGTGTTGGGCAGGCTGGTGTCGAACTCCTGAGCTCAGGTGACCCACCTGCCTCAGCCTCCCAAAGTGCTGGGATTATAGGCATGAGTCACCGTGCCCGGCCTGTTGTCATCATTCTTACATTCCTGCCAACTTCTATTTCATGTGTCTTTCACTCTGGCACAAACATTTACGAAAATTGATCACATGGCTTCAATGTAAATTAACTAGGTGAGGCCCAGCCTTGCCAGCTTTAACCACTTGGGCACCGTCCAGGGACCTCCCTGTTCTGTGAGTTGCCCCTCTGGCTGGTACTCACTGTGTGTGCGTGCCTCTCTGTCTTGCCTCGCCCACCCCCCAGGGTTCTGGCTGGTGTGGACCATCATCATCATCCTCAGCTGCTGCTGTGTCTGCCACCACCGCCGAGCCAAGCACCGCCTTCAGGCCCAGCAGCGGCAACATGAAATCAACCTGATCGCCTACCGAGAAGCCCACAATTACTCAGCGCTGCCATTTTATTTCAGTACGTACACCCAAGCCCCCATCCCCACACCCAGAAGCTCAGGTGCACAGACCCAGTGCTCAGACTGAATATTGGTGGCCAGGGCCCCTGTAGGCATAGGGTGTTTGTCCTCTCTCTGCCCCTCCACAGAGCAAGGTCTTGAAAGTACAGGAACAAGGGGGTACTCCTTCAGCACAGAGGAGCAGGTGCTAGTTATGCAGTTCCCTGAAGCCACTGGGCCATTCCAAAGCTCACAGTGGCTGGGTTCTGGCTGGATCTCTGTCCCTTCATCAGATTCCTTCCTCCTTCCCTCCTTCGCTCCCTCCCTCCCTCTCTCTTTCTTCCTTTCTTTCTTTTTCTCCCTCCCCCTCCACTCATTCCCTTCCTGCCTCCCTTTCTTTTTTTTTTTTT